GCTCTTTTCTTCACACAAAAATAAAGAATCACTACAGTTTCTACGTTTCACATCATCTCTATCAAAATCTGCMGTTTAAACATTAAACTCTGAAACAATTGTCTCCATATTTCTGATTTTTGGCAAAAATCCACTGCTCCATCAKTTACTACCACAAACAAAAAAAATCTAAACTTTGACTTCTTTTGTTATKTAAGTGTGAGAAACCCCTTCAATAAAAGCATTTTAACAAATTGTTTGAACAGGTCATCTAATTAAAGGAATAAAAACAACTGATTCAGCAGTTTTTAATCAGGTTTATAACTCCCTGCACTCCTGACATTAACTTTAACACAAAGAAGAACTGAAAGAGAAAACTGTGAGCTCAGACAGGAAGCAAACATTTACAGAAAATCACATTTTTTGCGGTCTAACACACACACACACACACACTCACCGAGGTAGGGCTGACTAAAGGCAGGGGCAGAAAGATGAGTGGAGTGATGACGATGATGATGTAGTTTCTGTGATACCACAACCATTTCAACCAGCTCTCCATGATGCTTAGAAAAAGTTATAAAAAAATTAGTTCAAAGTCAGAAAACCGTCCCAGAAGCTTGACTAGAACCACGCAGCTGATCCAGATGTGGKAACTAGTCCGAAAAGAGGAAAAGAAAAGATGAGCTCTGAAATTAGAGAAGTGCTTCGTAAAAAGCTGCTGAGCTAAAGAAACTAAAATCTGCACAATTCAGTGCTTATAGCTTCATTTTATCAAACATTAACCCGGAACCATAGAGTTAGCTTCCTTGACTGTCAAAAAGCTGGTTAGAGAGAGAGAGAGAGAGAGAGAGAGAGAGAGAGAGAGAGAGAGAGAGAGAGAGGGTGGGGAGGACAGGTGAGGGGGCAGGTCGTCCAATAAAAGACAGGTTTGTCAGGTGAAGAAGTCAGACTCTCCCAGGTGAAGCCAAAGGTCAGGGGGCGTGATTGTAACCCACTCACACACAAAACCTGAGATTTTACATTTCTACACACAATAAAACCCAAGTTAGTTTGTTAGTCCTTCAGCACAAAGTTAGGYGTGGTGAGTTTGGTAATTAAAACAAAAACTATAAAATCTGAAATAAAAAGTGAACGCAAGGAACCTTTAACCTCAGCTGTTTTAATTAGATATTTAAACAAACTGCCTGCTGTTACAATACATGAGGCAGTTTATTGGGTTTGTAACTCGCCCTGTGTTCGGGAATAACAGCCCTGATTCCTTTAGGAGAACRGGAGAGAAAATCAATAATCAAAGAAGAAACAGTGGAGTGAAAATGGGATCTAAAAATGAGTCAAACAAAGAACTACAGAGATGAGAAAACCTGGTGACGACTGGGGGTAAGTAATGCTTATCTAAATGACTTGTTTGGTTTAAGAAGAAGAAGGAATAAAGACAAATGCGAGGGATGTGGAGGAAAACAAAATGTGGAACTTTTAGCACAAAAGGTGAGTAAATTTGTTTGGTAGATTATTTCTTTGTTGTAACAATTCTTCACAATAAACCTTATATTAATGGAAAGCCTCTTGATTTCCCTTTTTAATGGTGCCACATTTGTAAGGAACAGGCATTTGTGGATGAAGGTTAGAGCTGATTAGTGTGCATTGCCAATGCAATGCACACTATTGTGATTCGTTTCCCATCCAAATCATCTCCACTTTGGCACGCTTCTCCTTCTGCATACTTTTTCCTAGAGCTGCCATTGTAATTTATATCTGTAAAGCTCCTGCGCCAAATGATAGCTATGCCTTTTCGTACCTGTACAACTTATAGTTTTTGAAATATTAATGTTTAATAATTTATAATGGAANCAAAGTTGATCCGTAAGATGTTCAGGTCCAAAAACCATAACCTCTGTCTTATCTGAGTTTAGAAGCAGAAAATTAAGAGTCATCTATGTTTTTTAAGACATGCTTGCAGTTTAAGTAACTGGTTGGATTCATCAGGTTTCATGGATAAATATGCTTCATATGGATATTTTTATGCTGAGTATCATCGGCATAAAAATGGAAATTTATCCCATGCTGTTTAATAACTTTACCTAAAGGAAACATGTATAAAGTAAAGAGGATTGGTCCAAGCACTGAACCCTGAGGAACTCCATGACAAACTCTTGTGTAAGAAGAAGATTCATAACAAAACTAAATCCATCAGTTAAACTAGAAGCACTCGGAGAGTGCAAACCTCCACCAAGACCAATTTACCCCATCCTGTAATACAGTAAATGCGCAAAAGCAGAGATGGAAACACATTTGCCGAATAAGTTATGACGTTGCGAACATTTAAGCAGGCAGTATGCACGGGATTTCTTCCTGGTGGAGTTCAACGTGAAAAAAAAAGACTTGTCACCCAACGTTATTCATCATCAAACTGGTGTCAGATTAAGCTCCTAAGTTTTCATCAGTCACATTTCACCATGTAAAACATCTGTTTTATCCCCTTGTATGAGTTTGTAATGGTTTGACTCTTTATAAAGTGCTTTTCCTGGTTCCCCCCGTCTCCAAACTTTGAGGCCCGGCAGCTCTCTGTTTACAAGCCCAGTAGAGACAAACTGTTTTGATTGGTTATTTCGGAAATGTGGTGTGTTTGAGGAAATGGGAAAAATAGGTTTCACGGTGCAGTCACACACTTCCTGGTCACAAAACGTTTGCTAAATGTGCACCAAATGTGTAAAAATGTGCACATTATCGCAAAAAAATTATTCATCATTAAATGTGGTTTTAACATTACTTTATAAAGTTTGAAGTCCGTGCTGTCCAATCCAGCTCACTGTTTTTTACAGAAGCCCCGTGAAAGCATCACAGCTTTGCCGATCTCATGGTGTTAAAAGAAAAAAAATTCCTGTATCCGCATCGTGATCCAGAACATCACCAAAATTTAAAGGCGTGTTCCTTGGCCCAGTACACACGTGTTAAAAATGTCATGACAATCCGTCCACAGGTTTTTGAGTAATGTTGTCCACAGACAGACAGACAGACAGACAAACATACGCGACCGAAAACATTACCTCGCCCTCGGCAGAGGTAATAAGACTCAAATCATTTTAGAGCTGTTCCTGTAATCCCAATATCAAGTTCAAGTCTATGTAATAAAATATTTTGATCAACTGAATCAAATGCAGCACTGAGATCTAACAGGACAAGAATGGACACATGTCCACTTTATGAGGCCATGAGAAGATCATTAGTAACTGGATGGGTTCTTCTCTAATGAAACGTTTCGTCTCTCCTCCAAGAGACTTCTTCAGTCTGAGAGTTTCAGGCAAAATTCAGGCTTTTAATGTCCCAACACAAACGAGCTACATCTAACGGCAGAACTCTGCAGTTTTCACTCATTTGCAGGCCAGCGGTCACTCTTTCAGAGATGAGGATGTTCTCATTCTTGATAGAGAGGAACGTTGGTTTGAGAGAGGAGTAAAAGA